TTGGAAGGAGTGAAAGGAAATGAGACTATAATCTCTGCAAAGCCTCACAGTACAAAATCTGGCACTAAAAATAGTATGGTTAGCATTAAATTCCCTGTTTTAGTTCATTTGATTATTACTAATGTGAGATGAACTTCATGAAGCTATTGGAAATTTTGTGAAACGCATACGAAATATCTGCATTATTATTGAACCTTTGACCTTCCATTTCTTACTACTTATCCTTGCATCTGGGTGATTTACTTCCCCTTTCTTCCTCCCCAAAACCAGAGAACTTAGTTTTGTCTTTTCAGGATACAGCAAGCTAAAGGATTTTTCTTTCTATGGTTGTGACCTCCCAAAGACAGAGAGCAAAGTGCTGCCATCAAGCACACTGGGAACTGAGTATCACCCATGGCAAATTGGGATGGGCTTAAAATCTGGGAGCGGAAAGTCTTTCCAGGATCCATCCTTTGTTTGGGTGTGCTACTGGCTACGGATAAAGCTGTGCCAGCCCCAAACTGGGGAAGGTGAAGACAGGGAGGGTGAAGAGCAGCTGTCAGAACAGCCACAGCCACTTGGGCTGKGCACCTCCTCCAGGAGCCTTATCTTGGGTGGAGTTTAGGCTCAGATAAAGCCCATGGCAGCAACAGGTTTTCACAGGTATGGGGAGGGGCCCAGTTTGGACTTTGCAGGGCAGGGGAGGATGGAAAGGACGTTAAAGAAGCAGGCTTTTCTTAAAAGCTGCAAGCTGATTTCTTGGTCTGTCTGCCAGCTAGCAGGTTACTCAGACAGTGTCCCTGTGCACTGGTGGCTTTGCTAGTGAGGTATATCCAGCACTTAAGGAGGGTCCTAACTCCCTGCAAAAGGTGGGGAGGAARGGTGAAACCTGTGACTGTTCAGTTGGGCTCTGCTCAAGGGGGAGCTTTGCAGAGGTTGCGCTGTGTTGTTCTGAGGTGTTGCAAGAACAGTGTAATGGGCCCGGGCACTCCCTGGAGTGCCCTTCCTTGGCTGACCACAGGACTTCTGTGCCTTTCTGCCAACAGTAGAAAGATTCAGGTGGATGAGAGAGACCTTGAGCCGCTGGCAGCGGCCTGAGGAACCCGTGCCTTGGTGCAGGTGCTGRCAGCACAAGTGGGTGGGCAGGCAGAACAGTTTCTTTAAGCAGTTATAGTTGGGAGCAGCTAATGGGACCAAGAAAGCACAAAAGGGCCAAAGAATCGAAAGCCCTTTTGTAAACATGAATTGACATGAACACTGTGGAAGGAAGGCAGCTTAAGCTCTAGCTTCAGAAGAGTTAAACCAGTTTTGAGTGTCCTGCAAAAACAAATCATCTTTGCTTGTTCCACAGGAGTGCTTCTGTTGACTTCTGTGATGTCTTTGAAATCCTTCATACAAAGGGTTTAGACTCCACTGTAGAGTATGTAGGTTGTAAAGTAGCCCAACCGGGCCTCGTGGCCTTCTCCCCCGCTCCATAGATTGTTRCTGTAACCTGTCCTATGCAGTTAGGAGTGTTTGTCCCTGTGGTGGAATGGGCAGATAGGCTCTTTTGTGCTTTCCTTTCTCCCTGTGTTGACCTAAGAAATCTCTTGGTTTGTGTTCTTCCTTGTCTTGTCGTGGAGGAAGCTTACAAATCATTTCCCAGGATATAAGTTGGTAACTGGAAACATGCACGATATTGCTCTGGTTGCTTGACCCCAACTGGCTAAACTGTACAGTCTGGCTTAACACTTCCTCCTTCCTTGCCTTTAGGTTTTGGGAAGAACTTGAGGCACTAAAACTCTTAAGCTTTCTATGTCTTAATTTATAGGATTATTTATTTATTTGTTTTTGAACTTCCAAATAACAAGGAAAATGACCTGGTAACAATAGCTTGATTTATTCAATGCTTCATTTTAACAACCTTGCAACACTATTTTTTGCGCAATAGGAAGTACCACACTTGAAATACCACCACTTTTCTGCTAGATTAAGCAAAAAGCGGTTCTGAGAGCTGGATGTGATTTTAGAAGAGTCAGAAAACGTGATAGTAAAAGCCAAAGTATTTTCACATGCTGTCTCTTTCTAAAAAGCTGTTTGCTTTTTAAGTTTGTTTTCACATGAAGTTTAATGTTAACTAGTCACTTATGGCTCTGTTGAAGTAGAATATATAAATCAATCTGCTGCATATATCCCACAGTTTTCAGTTAGGGAGCTATTCTGCTTCTTCAAATGTGAGACACTGACCTTTTTATCCTTAAAAAATAGTGTTTGCTTGGCATTTTTCCAACCAATTTCTATGGCACTCCCTTGGTGTGTTCACATCACTAAGCTTTATCAATTGCCTATTAATCAAGGTGCCATGTGAGCAATACTTCTTGGATTTCTCAACAGAATGGTGCATTTTTCCTCATTCCCATCCCATCTCTTCTCACAGGAAATTCTTGGGTGTTTTTAGCTCATCAGTCAGAAGATTTAAGGGGAGTTAAAGCAAAGGCTACTCTGGATGCAYGGGCTTTGGAAGCGACTGTTCAGAAGGTGTAGCTAGCATGGAAGGGCTGATCTCTGTCATTAGCAGTGCTGTAAACAGTAAGGATGAAACAGGTCCTTGCTTGAGACCTGAAGCTCCTTAAAGTACACGCAGCCCCACGCAGTGACTGCAGCCTCACATCTGTCAAACCTGCCCTAGTTGCAAACGCTCTGGTCCCCTCCGCAGTTCAGCTCCCCATGACCGCAGACAGAGCCGTTTGAGGGACTGTTCTGAAAATAATGCCAAGGAAATGATGTAGGTGCATTTGTAGTGGATCTTCAGAGACCTTATTCATCCAGTGCACTTTGTCTAGTGCACAGCCTCACAGGCAGATGAGCTGGCTGCAAAGTACTGAGCAATAGGAGCCRGTGGGCGGGAGCAGGAAGGGGTCAGGAACTTCTTAGGCTGCCTCCTGCTCTGCGGATAAGGAACATGTCCAAGCACTGSCCCTTGCTGCCACCGTGGCAATGAGAATCTGTCTGGATCTTTAGTTTGGTTGGTCTTTACAGTGTATAAAGGGATTTTTTCCCTAGTGTTGGGCTCTGAAGATAGTTATTTTACATCACTGCTGACTTGGGATTACTTGCAGCTTGTTTTAATTTACAGAAGCCATACTGAGAACTTCTTGTAGCAGCTGCGTGCAGGATCCCTGGTTGCTTTCTGCTAACGAATGCATTTCCATGGCTGGCAGGTAGACTACTCTGAGCAGTCAGGACTGACAGGCAGCTGTAGCCCCTGCCAGCTGCAGGCTGCGTCCTGCCTTTGGCACAAGGAGTGAGCTCCTGCTCCCCAGCGAGGGAATTGGGTGCAGGTGCACGCAGGGAGCAGAAACACCACCTGCTGCGGGTGCACCACGCTAGCAACTGGTGACCCATCGCTCACCCTGTCCCTGTCTCCCACTTCACCATGTCCTCCGAGTCTCCTTTCAGGAGCTTAGCCCGAACCAAAGCTGTCATCTACTAAGGCAGCTGTTTATCTTAGTTTTCAATGTCAAATTCAGAGATGCAAGACTGACGGGTGTGGGCTGCTGCCCATGCCTGCAGGTAATGTGGCTCTGGTGGAGAGGTAAAAAGAATAACTTTTTTTTTTTGACCTTTTTGTTGCAGGTGGTTAAAACAATAGGGTTGCGTGAAGTGTGGTACTTTGGTCTTCAGTATGTGGACAACAAAGGATTCCAGACTTGGCTGAAGCTAGATAAAAAGGTAACAGCCCATGGGCTAATTGCTGCTAAAGGTTAAAGCTTACATGAATTCGTGTTATTGGCTGTGACTTTATAATCTCAGTACCTGTTGTTGATTGTTCCTTAGCTCTCATAACTTGTAGATTATTTTTAGAGAGAACTTTGTGACCTCTGTGGGAATTGCTTAGGCGAGGTCTAGCCTAGTGTGGGCTTGCATTTTTTTTTTTTTTATTTTCTCTTCATGAACTGTAAAAAGCCCTACTGCACTTGTCAGCACTTCGATGTTGTGCCTTGCTGGGTAGAAGTGGCCATAATTGTTGTGTCTGGAGAACATCTTGGCCCATAACATTTTTAATCTCCGGTTATGCGGTATCAGTTGCTGCACTGATCAGAAAGAGCAGTTTGCTTCTAGCCTGGGTAGGTGTGACACAGAGCTCAGGTGTTCCTCATGTGCCCCTGCTCATAGAGTTGCAGTCTGCTCAAGAGCATCTGCTCCTTCTCTTGAGAGAGGCAGCCAAGGTATCATCTCAGTGGAGTGCAAGGGGTCTGTGTCAAATGCATATAATACCAGGTGAGTTCGTTGTCTGATACAGCAAGGTAACGGTTTGGGGTCACCAAAGCTGGCTGTGCAAGCAGAATTTGAATAGCTTAGTTGTAAAATACAATAAGTCTCCCCTGTGTTTTCATACCAGTGAGCAGCTGGAATTAAGGAATGCCAGTAATTAGCTGTCAGTCACTTGCTCAGTATGAACTGGCAGGTGGTTTATTGGCTTTAGCCTTGGAATTTTTTTCCCCCAAAGACACAAAGTCTAATGCACCCTCCTCGTCTGGTGCCAGCTGGCACGGCCAGCAGGAGCTAAGCTGTGCAGAGGCGGTTGCTTCCTTCTGAAGCAGCACCTGTTTGTCTCTGTTATTTAAAGAAAAGGGATGGTAGGGAGTATTGCTACCTCTGTCTTCTAGAGAGTGACTTCCCAAGCAGCTGTATGTTACAGCACTCAATTGTGTTCAGGTCGAACTCTGCAGGGGTTTTTGTGTGGGTAGATGCTGGTGAAAGGGTTTCTGTTTAGCTGGAGAGAGATCTGTGTAGGGCATGGATACCAAACTGCTACAGAAATGTATTTCTGAAAGCTAGTGCTCCTTAAGGAAAAAGCCCTAAGTCTCTTTTTGTGTGTGTAAAAGCTCCTTACTGTCTTGCTTGCAGCCCTGCTCATTTGTTGTGTTGCCTCTGTCCTTAGGTTTCTGCTCAGGAAATCAGAAAGGAGAACCCCCTGCAGTTCAGATTCCGAGCCAAGTTCTTCCCAGAAGACGTGGCTGAAGAGCTCATTCAGGACATCACGCAGAAGCTCTTCTTCCTGCAGGTGAAGGAAGGGATCCTCAGCGATGAGATCTACTGTCCCCCTGAAACAGCAGTTCTCCTTGGCTCCTATGCTGTGCAGGCCAAGTTTGGAGACTACAGCAAAGATGTGCATAAGCCTGGATACCTTAGTTCAGAGCGTCTGATCCCCCAAAGGTGAAGGATATTTTCTTTTCCTAGAACTTGTATTCCAGTTCAATGCAAATCTTCATTGAATATATGTTTTTAATTTGAACTGTGTGTATGTGTSTCCTTTCTTCATTTTTGTACATTGTATTACACTACACTTTTGTCATCTTTGAGCAGATTACAGAAAGGCAGTGTACTTGCAGCTCAGCTTTTCTTTCTTAAATGGTACTACCTTGCTGTTGACAGGCAGCATGAAYGTCTCCCTTTTAAGGAGCAAGCCATTGTCAAGACTGTGTCATCCCAGGAAAAGCTTCTTCTTAGTCATAATATGCAATCCTAGAAATTCCGTATCTGGAAAGGATAACTTGGGGCTGTGCAGCCCATCTTAACCCAGGCTAAGTGCTCATTAGGAGGAAACTGGCTTGTGGTTACGCTTCCTGATTGCACTCCCAGCAGGGTGTCTAATTCCAGGAATGACACCAGCTTGTGCTCTGCCTTAACCCCCTGGTGCCTGTAGCGTAGGTGTGATTMTTTTGCAGTGTTCTGCTTGTTCCTTTCCTGCCCTTGGTCAGGAACCAGGAAGACACTTAGCAAGATAAGAAGGCAGTTTTTGTTCATGCTGATGGCTCTGTGCTGAGCAGGATCTTCCTTTTGGCTTCAGGAAGACTTCTTAGTGAGAATTAAGAGAATTAATTTTTCACTAGAGTTGTAACAAAGACTAGCATCAATATATATAGCCAAACAAGATGTCTAATCTTGCTACCTTCTCTTTTTCTGCATCAGGGTGATGGACCAGCACAAACTCTCCAGAGAGCAGTGGGAAGAGCGGATCCAGGTTTGGCATGCTGAACACAGCGGCATGCTCAAGTGAGTGCTTTTTATTGGTCTGCGGACCAATCACTTTAATCCTTGTTAAACAGCCTTAAGTTTGTGGTTTCTGCGATATGTTTTCAGAATAGAATCCATGAGTGACCTGTGTAGGGGATCTCTTAGTGTGCGTTTTTTAGCCCAGCATTGATTTGAATGGTAAAACTCATCAGAACTTGTATCTTGAGATAAAAGATACCCCTTGTTGAGAACAGTCCCTTAGTTGGCTTCCTATAAATCCCACACCTAGATACCTAGGCATATCAGTGGTGCCTTTCAGGGGATAAAATTAATGAACCTTAGATTTGTTGAAGCATCTGCAGTGGGGAAAGTTGAGGTAATATATCTTTTCTGTTGACAGAGCCTTAGGGTGAGGATGAACTCTGGAAGAACTGAGTGTTATCATTACCTTTTTTTTTCAGGAAATATTAGGGCTTGGTAGATGGGACTGAAGTACATGTATGTGTGCTTAGGGTTGTAACATGATAACTCTTACAGCAAATCTCAAATGCTGAATGTTCAGTTTTAAAACCCTTAGGAGTTTAGGAGAAATTACTTGTCTCTTCTGAGGAATTCATGCTTTCTGTAGTAGTCRGGTAAATGAGAAGCTAATCTCTGCTCTTCTTTCTGCTTTAACCAGAGAGAATGCCATGCTGGAATACCTGAAGATTGCCCAAGACCTGGAGATGTATGGAATTAACTATTTTGAAATCAAGAATAAGAAAGGAACTGATCTCTGGCTGGGAGTTGATGCCCTGGGGCTCAACATCTATGAAAAGGATGATAAGTAAGGCTTTTGTTTCCACCTCTCATCAACCAGAGTGAGGGTTGCTTTGGGAGCCAAGTGTTTCTCTCTTACAAGATCAAAGTTCAGAACTTTCTTGATGTCCAATTTGAGATGAACAGGAGGTGAAGCTATGGTCAGAATCGAGCTTTCCATCYGTTTATGCATAAAGCTAATCGTTTCATGCCTTTTCTGGGCTTTGTAGTCTGCCTTGCTAATGCTGTCTCCCACGTAAAATAAGAGGTGTCTGTTGTAAAACGCAGTCTGGTGAATAAAACACGCACAGCTGTAGAGCTGAACCCTGTGGTAAGGACAGTACCAACCTTTTCTTAGAGACAAGTTGCCAGCCATGCCAGCACTGAATACCTTGTGAGAACTTAGATTAACACATCTGCAGGGTGTGTGTGGACATTTAGGACCTTTCCTGTACTGAGGTTAATGATAGCTGTGTCTCCTGCGGCGTGTTCTCAAAAAGACAGGTTATGGGGTGGACATGAAACCAAAGCCAGATAACGCCCAGAATCCAGGGAGGAGCTAACCCATGTAGTTACCATGGATGAATGCATTAAATGAGGTCCTTGCTGAGGACCTTCTGTCCTTCTGTCCTTCTGTCCTTCTGTCCTTCTGTCCTTCTGTCCTTCTGTCCTTCTGTCCTTCTGTCCTTCTGTCCTTCTGTCCTTCTGTCCTT